ACGTGCACACAAGCACACAAACACAACGCACACACACACACACACACACACACACACACACACACGCATACGCACACACAAACGCACACACACACACGCATACGCACACACAGACGCACGCACACACACTCACACGTACGCACGCACGCAGTCACGCACTCACGCACGCGCACACACACACACACACACACACACACACACGCACGCACACCCACACACACACACACCACGCGCACACACACACACACACACACACACACACACGCACACACGCACACACACGCAGACACACACACATACACACAAACACGCGCGCACGCACGCACTCAAGCACGCAAGCACGCACAGCCACGCACGCGCGTCCACACCACCGCACATGAACATATCGACGCGGAGCGACTCGAACGCATTGTTCTACAAGATTGAGACACGAAGTGCTACACAATTCAAACACGATTTTCAATGCTTTAGACACGGCGCTTAACACACTTATGCACAATTTAGACGTTTTTCGGTTAGACACGGATAATGTTTTTAGACACGATTGACATTTAGACACGATCTAGAAACTCATGCACGGGGCCTGCGCGAGAATGCGATAGACATGCGGGTGTTTAAATCCTGCCCGAATCGCTGAAGTTCTGCCCCCGCTGCAGCGAGATCGCGTTAGACACGGAACGCGTCTAAATGATTTAGACGCCGTCTTCCAGGGTAGTGATCCCCCCGGGTTTTCCGGAGGAGGGGGGGGAGGGGTTCGAACCGGGAGTGACCCCCCTCTGGTTTTCCCGGTAGTGACCCCCCCCTTGGTTTTCAGGAGAGAGGGGGGGGAGGGGTTCGAACCGGTAGTGACCCCCCTGTGGTTTTCTGGGGGGGGGGGTTCGAACTGGTAGTGACCCCCCTCGAGTTTCCGGAGAGGGGGGGGGTAGGGGAGGGGGGGGTTTTGCCGGGGGGAAAGGGGAGGGGGGGGGGATCCAGCAGGTGGGGGAGGGGATTTTCGGAGGAGAGAGGGGTACCCCGGGTTCGGGAGGAAGAGGGGGGGGAATTTTCCACAGTAAAGCGGCGGTGGATCACGCTCTCTCTTATGGGGGGTCCTACCGTCGGAGTAATGCGATATTTAGTTCTGCCGTTCCTTATGCGATATCTCTTGGAAACAGGGGGTTTCGTTCTTCATTTATCGTTCCTTAGGTCAGGCCGATGACTGTATCCGTTTTGGCTCAAACCGTTCGGATCAGGCCATGTGGCCCATGCGCCCCAGGGAGAGGCGCCAGGGAAACGCTGGCGGCCTCACCCCGCCGGGCTCCCCCCCCGCCCGCGGCGGGGATGCTCTACGCCCTGGCCCGGCGTGGCTCGGCGCTGTGGTCGAAGCACCCCCGGGCCATGAACCTTGCCACGGGGTTCGGCCTCGGTGCCGCCGCGGACGCCCTGTGCCAGCTGGCGGTGCAGAAGCGTCCGGAGATGGACTGGACGCACTTCAGGGCCTTCGTCGGCTACATGGGCGTGTACCAGGGCGTGGTGGTGCAGTACGTGTACGCGTCGTACAAGTACTTCCTACCGGCGGCCCTCTTGGCGACGCCGCTGCGGTACGGCATAGGATGCACCCTGCTGGATTCGTTTGTGCATTGCCCGTTTCTGTACACGCCATCCTATTACATCTCTGTGAACCTTCTTAGAGGCAGCACTTGGCAGGAGGCCGTCGACGACCTGAGGGCCAATTACAAAGTTACCCAGCAGCTCTGCGTGTGCTTTTGGCTCCCTGTGATGGCCTGCAACTTCGCGCTGCTGCCGGGTAACTTAGTCACCTTTGCGATGCAGGTACAGAATCTGATTTGGTCCGTCATCTTGGACTACACATCGGCTACAATGGGTGAGGTGGATGCTTACACCGTGCTTTCGACCATCTCGGCGAGCGTGATAAAACCAGTCTCGAGACTGTGTTGAGAGGCGCAGACGTTGCCACGAATCTTCTTCGAGAGGGTCACACGGTGAGGAGGCGGTCTAACCAAAAGCTGAGTTCTGCCATCAAAAAGAGAGTGGCGGCGAACTCGAAGGAGGCGCCGCCTCTCTCCGCTCCCCTCCTTCAGAGGGCCCCCAGGGGGGCTCCCACGAGACATCCCAGATGGCGACGAACTTCGGAGGCGGCGGTTCCTCCATCCGCATCCCTCCTTCTCTCTGATCCATCGCTCCTCCCTCTTCCCCGATGCGTGCTGTTCCTTCCCCTCTCGCATGTATCTCTCCTTCAGCCCTTGCTCCCTCCGCGTGCCCTGCCCCGCTTCCTGCCTCACTGAGTGATTTGGGAGGCCACTGAGACGCACGAAGAGGCACCAACGAGGCCCCAACGAGGTGTCCAAGAGGATCCGATGAGCCCTCAGGAAGCGCCCAAGAAACCCCCAAGAGGCCCCCAAGAGGCTCCCAAAAGCTGGAAGAGCCGCCAAGAACCCCCAAGAGCCCTCACGAGGCCCCAAGAGTCCCACGGACACGCCCCCACGAGGCTCCAAGAAGGCTTTCAAGACGCTGCCAAGACGCCCCCAGAGACTGCCACGAGACATCCCAGATGGCGGCAAACTCGGTGGAGGCGGCTCCTCTCGCCTCATCCGGGTAAAGTTTCTCAGTTTCTCCAGCCGTCGCCACCCGCTCGCGACCCTGCCCCTTTCAGAAGTCCCCCCCCTCTTGGCGGCTGCTTCGCAGGGAGGCCATCGTTCACCGCCATCTGTACCAACGCAACAAGAGCCTTGTGGCATAGAACGGAGAGGCGACACGACGGACGGACGAACGAACGAACGACGGACGACCGACGAAGACGTTTGTTTGGGCAACCGCCGACCCCCCCGCTGCCGCCACTGACGAAGAAGTGGCCCAGGACGACGGCGACGACTCCGACGGCGGCGGCGACGGCGTCGACCGCCGTCCCTGTTGACCCTCTGGGCTCGAGCAGCGGGGTCAGGAGCCCGAGAGGGAGGGGGGTGAGGCGTCCCCCAGCCGCCAGAAGGCGGCGGCGGCATGATGAGGAAGGTGAGGAAAGGAGGGGAATGAGGAAGAGGAGGAAGAGGAAGAACGGGCGGTGAGGCGAGGAAGGTGAGGAAGGTGCGGAGTGGAGGGAGGTGAGGAAGGTGAGGCGTGGTGGTGGAAGGTGAGGAGGATGAAGAGGTGAGGGGCGGAGGAGTACAGGATCGAGGACCACGGCCCATCGCCACCCTCGGGCCCCTGGAGGCCGCCCGTGGGCCCCAGGGGCCGCCCACAGAATGAGCTGGAGCTGGGATTAGAAGGCCAGTCCTCGGGAAGAGCCCCGAGGTCTGGGGCCCGCGCTTTGTGGGCCTCGGAAGCGGCAGGGCCGTTTTTTCACCGTTTCCAGAGATATGTCCCTTGAAAATGGAAACGGCAAAAAAAAACGGCGACCCGAAACGGCAAAAAAACGGCTTCAGGCTTGGAGTTGGAGCCGGAACCGGTCAAAAAACGGCGACGGAACCGGCAAAAAAACTGAGTCGGAACCGCAAAAAAACGGCAAAACGGAACCGGTAACAAAAACGGCTCTGTCGTTTCCAGGGCCCACTGAGGGCCCGCGCACTGCGGAGAACGCGGCGTCGGAGCTCCGCCAGGCAGACCCCAGATGAGGATAAACAGTGCCCCAGAGCGTCCCAGGACCGCTTACGGCGCCGGAGCGTTTTGGAACGGCCTCGGCGCACGATGCATGCTCCAGACTCGCCAGCGCACCCAAACTGTTCCTCATTCCTCCTCCTCCGCCTCCCCTCCTCCTCCTCCTCCTCCTCCTCCTCCTCCTCCTCCTCCTCCTCCTCCTCCTCCTCCTCCTCCTCCTCCTCCTCCTCCTCCTCCTCCTCCTCCTCCTCCTCCTCCTTTCCTTTCCCCTATATAAATAATTTCTCCCTGTCGCACCCCGAGGCCACTTTTTAGGGCGGGCTGGGCGTTTCGCCTGAGACCTCCTCACCACTTGTGACCCTGAAGCTGAAAATCGCCAGCAGTTCCACAGATGCAGGGCGGGTCGTTTTTCAAAATGTGGCTCTCGCCCTATCGCCGCGCACATTTGTTTTAGGTCACAAGACAGCTCGCCGTTTGGGCCCCACCCCCAGCCTAAACGGCGAGCCTACATCGGGCGTAGCCCCGCACGCATTCGAATGCCCACACTTCGTCCTCGTCGTACTACTCGGATTCCTCCCCGTCCTCCTCCCCATCCTGATCGCAGTCGTCGTCCTCCTCCTCGTCCTCCTCCTCATGATCCTTGTCTTCCTTGTCTTCCTCTTGCTCCAGCTCCTCCTCGTCGTCCTCGGACAAGACCTCGTCCTCGTTTCTCCTCTTCCTCCTCCTGCTCATCCTCTTTCTCCTGGCACCTAGGATGCACATTAGGTTGCGCCATAGGTTGCGCCCTCGGCGGCCGAGAATAAAGCCGTCTCCTATCGGTTGCGCCATGGGTTGCGCCCTCGGCGGCCTAGAATAAACCCGTCTCATAGTGGTTGCGCCATCGGTAGCGCCCTTGGCCACCGAGAGTAAAACGGTCTCCTATCGGTTGGGCCACAGGTTGCGCCCATGGCGGCCGAGAAGAAATCCGTTTCCTATCGGTTTCGCCATCGGTTGCGCCCTCGTCGGCCGAAATTGAAATCGTCTCCTATCGGTTGCGCCATAGGTTGCGCCCTTGGCGGCCGAGAAGACAACCGTCGCGTAGCGGGTGCGACCAGTTTGTTCAGTTCAGTTCAATTCAGTATACCCCGCCAGAAACAAATTCGGGCTACGCCCGAACCAAAAAATAGGAGCTTCACGGATAGAGGGCGGGTCGTTGTCAAAATGTGGTTCTCATTTTAGTGCCGTGCACATTCATTTCAACAGTTGCAAACGTATCATGGATTGAGGGTGGTCGTTCTCAAATTGTGGTTTTCGTATTAGTGCCGCGCACATTATTTTCCAAACTTGCAAGAGCTCCACAGATTGAGGGAGGGTCATTTTCAACATGTGGTTCTCGCTTTAGTGCCGCGCATATTCCTTTTTCAACACGTGCAAGAGTTTCACGGATTGAGGGCGGATCGTTTTCAAAATGTAGTTCTCGCCCCAGTGCCGCGCACATTCTTCTCTCAATTTTGCACGAGCTTCACGGATTGAGGGTGGGTCGTTTTCAAAATGTGGTTCTCGCTTGAGCGCCGTGCACATTCTTGTCAAGAGTGGCAACAGCTTCTCAGATGAGATGAAGGGCGGTCCGTTTTCAAAATGTGGTTCTCGCTTTCGCGCCGCGCACATTCGTTCTTACAATTTGCAAGTGCTTCACGGATTGAGGGCGGCCCGTTTTCAAAGTGTGGTTTTCGCTTTACATTCGTTCTAACAATGTGCCAGGGTTTCACGGATCGAGGGCGGTTCTTTTTCAACATGTGGTTCTCGCTTTAGCGCCGCGCACATTCGTTATTAAGAGTTGCAGGAATTTCACGGAATACCATGGTCAACGTATCAGCGAGATATTCAGAATTATGAGGGCGCAGCCGTTACTCTGTTTTGCGGTGTTGAAGTCGCAAGAACGGCGTTCTGGCACGGTTCAGGATCGTGAAGATGCAACAGTCAAGTTGACCCGTGGCGTTGGAGTCCCGAGAATAATGTGTTGGCATGCTTCAGGGTTTTCACATGGTTGTCTTCCAACGAGACAGTTCCCTCCGTGGAAATGAACCCTTGCAGGTGCCTGTGAAGAGGGAGCTTGGAGGGAGGGTGTATGCCAACATCGTTGACACCTCTTGGGCTAACACTAGTCCTCCTCCTCCTCCGCCTCCTCCTCCTCCTCCTCCTCCTCCTCCTCCTCCTCCTCCTCCTCCTCCTCCTCCTCCTCCTCCTCCTCCTCCCCCTCCTCCCCCTCCTCATGTCCCGCGCGGAGCGCCACGCGGGGCCTCGCGCGCTCCAGCTCGGCAAGGCCCCCGCCCACCTCGTCTCGCACCACACGGCCCTCGCTGACGAGGTGCGGGCCCGAAGCGGCAGGCGCACGCGGCCTCGGCGGCCCCACGCCGCGGCCCGGAGGCACATCCACCCTGATGGTCCGCTACCGAAAATTTCCGGTGGCGCTCCGCAGAGATCGGTCGCTACCGAAATACCGAAATGTAGCGCCCAATACCGGTATCAGAGCGTTCTGAACTCCGCTATTTCAACGCCCTCAAACGAAGATCCGGTCGCTACCGAAATTCGGGGTGCGTCGAAATCGCTACCGAAAATTTCCGGTACCAGACCATCTGGCCAGGCGGCGGTCGGCCCCGGTGTGGAGCGGCCGTGGGCCGCGCGGGTTGTGCCCATCAGGCCTTCGAGGACTCGATGCCCGATCGAGCTCTCCGGTGGCGTCGTGAAGTGCAATGGCGCGCTGCCGCTTCGCCGCGACGCCCTCGTCGTGCCGCAGGCTCTCCTATTCCAGGCGCTGCGCGCCTGCGGTGGGGGAGTGTCGCTGTGTCGAGCGCTCGGGCTTCACCTCCTCCTGCTGCCGATGCGGTGCCTGGAGCTCGCTGTGCAGCAGGCTTTCTCAGAAGTTCCAGTGCGATTGCGAAGGCCCCGCCGCCGACAGCGCGTCGCGCTGGAACGAAAACGATATGAGCTAGCTCCGCCGCGGGATCAACCCGGTCACCAAGGAGGTGCTGGAGTCGGGCCGGCCAGTGCCCTTCACCGCGCCGCCGGCGGTCCAGGAATGCTGATTTCCCCCCCCCCCCCCTAGTCTCCGTATGGGGGGGGGTTGAAGGCTGTCTGCCATGCCTCGTCCTGTGCGGCGGCTTTGCCTTCGTCGCCGACCTGGTCTCGGCGCTGGGCCTGGTCTTCGCCAGGAGAATTGGCGCCTGCCGGGCGCCAGTGGCCGCGGGGCGCCGGGCGTCTCGCGGCGGCCCACGCGCCTCATCATCCGAGGCCTTTCGCCTCCCGTGCCCCGTGCCCGGGAAGCCGCTCCCGAGCTTCGTATTCGGGCGCAGCGAGCAGGCCGACCGTATTGGGCTGGCCTCCGGCCAGTGCCGCCGATCCGGGGGGGGGTGAGAGCGAGATGGTGATGATGAGGATGATTAGGATGATGTTTCGGCGATTCGGGGCCCTCTTGCATTGTCTAGGGGGCCTCTCTTGGTTTCCTCTTGGGCTGTCTTGGGCGGTCGGGGCTCCGGAAGTGGAGTTTTCTATACCCCCCTGTCCCCGGGTACCGAAAAACGTCGGAAATGACGTCGGAAGTATCCCCGTGTACCGAAAAACGTCGGAAATGATGTCGGAAATAACGTGCCCCCCCCCCTGCAGAGCGAAGCTTGAGCGAGCTCAAGTCCACGCTCTCAGAAACTCACACGCCGGATCGGCGGATTTCGGCCGCCCGCCTCAACTTGGTCCCTTCCCCCCTCTTCATCCTGCGGCGCACCCGAGCTTTCCCTCATCCTGTCGTCGTCTCTGTCTTGGCGCCGCCTCCCTCGGGGGTTGAGGGCCGAGGCTCTTCGGCGGCAGGGGACCATCGTCTTTCGGGGGTGAGGTCGTGGGCAAAGCCATGCGCCCCCGCTGAAATGGTGCACCCCTAGTCCTCTCGCCGATTGGCCAGCCCCGAGTCCCTACCCTCTAAGCCAGTGGCGATGCTGGCACTCGGCGTAAAAGGGGTCTGTATAAGGTTATCTGGCACTGTATGGCGCTCTCTAGTCTGCAGCAGTTCTAGTGCTAATGCTGAATCATGTGCCGCCATGAACGAGCCTTCGCAAGCTGTCGAGGATCCTGAGGGGACGGGAGAGCCAATGTTCTGAGGCTTCCGATAGAGTCTGCTAGTCGCTGCCGTGCAGTCTTGTACAAGAGGCTGGCAGTGTCTCGGTCCAATCGGGTGGCCGAAAGTCCCGTGCCTGTCGCCTCCTCCTCCCTCTATCCCTCCCTTTTCGCTTCTCTGGAGCGCTGCTAGGGTGTTGGGCACGCATACCGGGGACGACCTTCCTCTTCCCAGGTGGCCCCGTGTGCTATTCCCAGTGATGCTGTTCAGGTAGGCAGTGTGTGTGAGGTGTCCCAGGTGTAAGAGTGCGCCCACCTTAGCACTGAGTACCAGGGAATGCCGTTCGAAAGACAGTCCGTCCAGCTTCGTCAAAGTGGCCCGCTTTGCCGACACTCGTGATCTCGAATGGTGTGAGCTCTCGGCTAAGCCTGGGGCCGCCGTTGGAGAGGTTCTGTTTTCCTGCAAGTGCACGCGACAAGTAAGCCGAATGGTCTCGGAGCACCGTGCCCCGCCCACGGCGGGAAAGGTGGCCGGAACGTTAATGGTGCTGGGCTGCACAAGCGTGAACTAGTCCTGAATGGGCTCCACCCGGAGTGCGGCAGACGCGCGAAGAGATTCGCCCATTGGCTGTTACCCCGCTCCGTGCTTGACCCCTCGGTTCCAGCCCAGTTTCTTCGCCAAGGCAGCGGTGGTCTGCTTATGCGCGCTTCCCGTCCGTACCACGCATGCGGCCGTGTGTGTGTGTGAGTGTGTGTGTGTGTGCGTGTGTGTGCGTGTGTGTGTGTGTGTGTGTGTGTGTGTGTGTGTGTGTGTGTGTGTGTGTGTGTGTGTGTGTGTGTGTGTGTGTGTGTGTTGTGTGTGTGTGTGTGTGTGTGTGTGTGTGTGTGTGTGTGTGTGTGTGTGTGTGTTGTGTGTGTGTGTGTGTGTGTGTGTGTGTGTGTGTGTGTGTGTGTGTGTGTGTGTGTGTGTGGGTGTGTGTGTGTGTGTGTGTGTGTGTGTGTGTGTGTGTGTGTGTGTGTGGACTTTGTATCTTTTATTGTGTGTGTGTGTGTGTGTGTGTGGATATGTGTTTATGTGTGTGTGTGCGTTGTGTGTGTTCCAATTTTGTGTGTGTGTGGTGTGGTGTGTGTGAGTGTGTGTGTGTGTGTAGTCTTGTGTGTGTGTGTGTGTGTGTTGTGTGAGTTGTGTGTGTGTGTGTTGCGGACCATCAGTTACGAATTCGAGGTCGTGGACCTGGGGGCACCAGCTAGCAGAGGGAGGACAAATCTCCCTCCCGAATCCTCCCCCCCCCCCCATCCCCCCGTCCCCCCCCTCCTCCCTCACTCCTCCATGCCCTCGACCTCCCTCCTACCCTCCCTTCCACCTCCCGAGTGCCTCCCTCCTCCCTCTCCTCCCCTCCTCCCTCCCTCCCTCCCCCTGTTGCATCCCTTTCCCGAGGTTGCCTCCCCTCCTCGCTTCTCCACAGCCTCACTCCCTTTACTCCCTCCCGCTCCCCCCTTTCTCCATCCCCTCCCGCAGGTGCCCCGCCACCAATGTCGCCGGACGCTCGCCGCTCTGACCCTGCGCGCCCCGGCGGGCTGGGCGCGGACACGGCGCGCGCGGAAGACAGGAGCGACCGCAGCTGGCCGCGGCCTGGCCTCTCGCCGCCGCCCGTCGTGAGGGCAGCCCCTCTCCCCCCTCCCCCCCCCTCCCCCTCCCCTACCCCTCCCCCTCCCTTTTCCCCTCCCCCCCCCCCTCACCCTCCCCTTCCCCCTCCCCCCCCCTCCCCCTCCCCCTCCCCCTCCCCCTCCCCCTCCCCCTCCCCCTCCACCAGCGGGGGGGTCGTCGAGTCGGTGGGGGCCTCGGAGAAGGGAAAAAGACATACACACTGTACACGTCTAATTCTTCGAGAAAGTTGTGTGATTTTGTGGCGGGGGGCCAGGATCCGTTCATTTCCCATCGGGCCTCTTCCTGGCCACTAGGGTGCCAGGAACAATTAGAAGCGAGCACAAGTAGAAATGAGCACGATTAGAAATGAGCGACGTGTAAACATACTCTGAGTTTCTTAATGAGCGTGGGGGGGGGGCGTCACCCCCGCCGACAGCCCCACATCGACCCCCGTCGCGGGCAGCCACCGCGCGCCGAAGGCGCTCCGACCCCCGTCGCGGCGCGACGACGATGCGAGGTTGACCTCCGTCGGGGGAGCATCCCCCCACGCTTATTAAGAAACCCAGAGTAAGCGTTTGGCGCTCCGCGCGGATTTCTTGGATCCGCGCTGGGCCCCCCCCCCCGGGCGGCGCCGGAGGCGCCGCCCGAGCGTGCGCCAGGGAGGAGGGTCCAGCGCAGATCCAAGAAATCCGCGCGGAGCGCCAACAGTTAATGTTTTATATCCTTTTGTCTTCTTCTAACGAGGGGGGGGTCATCGAGTCGGTGGACCCTCCTCCCTCTCCCGTTTGCTCCTCCGCCTCCTCCGCCCTCCACCCTTGCCTCTTCCTTCCCCTCCCCCTGCCGGCTCTGTTTGGATGTGGGCTCGAGTCAAGCGCTAACTCCCGTAGGCTACACGAGCGGGGATCGAGAGAGGGCCCGAAAAAGACGAACGAACGAGGACCAGGGAAGACACACAGCGGAGGGACAAATGACCGAGCGAAATAAGCGAGGCCCGGAACCCGAGGGGGCAAACAAGCGATTGACGAGACCTGGGTACTGCTGCGGCTTTTGAAACAGCATTCATCTTTCATCGTTCCGTACAATCCAAAGGCCCCCCCTTCCCATACAGTGGAAACCCATGCCAAGAAACACCCTGCTTGCCTCCAGGGTGCCCTGGATGTCCTGGGTTCCGATGGTCTTGCTCTGGAGAGCGTGACGCCCCCTCTCCAAACATCAGGGGACGTCCTCGGGTCTCAGAATTGGGTTTCCTGTGGAAGGTTTCTTGCGGTCGAGCCCCTGCTGTATTCCAAGGGCGCCGAAGAGGGCAAGCACTCGACCCTGACGCACCGATGCCAGGTTCCGCCACGGCCTGGCGCCCGGTGCCGCCCAAAGACATGGGCGGCGAGGAGACGGCGCGTCGTGCTGGCTCGCTCCTGCAGGGGGGCACGCACGCGAGGAGGCAAACACAGAAAACATGCACACGAGGAGGCAATCGAGCTTCACCTCTTCTGTCTCTTCGTGCCTGCGGGGCGCAGGCAGGAGGATGACTAGACATGCGCGCGCACGGGGCGGAGTCAGGGGAACTCCAGGAGACTTGCCAAGAGGATCAAGAAAGTCAGGAGCCTGGCCAGCATTGGAGCCAAGCCTCAACTCAGCTGGGGTTTCCATGGTCAAGTGATTGCATGGTAGCTGGCACTAATCAGAGCCACCAGACTCCGCATCCTCCTCATCTCTGAGAGCCTGCACAACTCTCCGCAGCTAACCGCCAGGCACGCCCTCCCCTACCTCAGAGGGAGTGCGGTACTGGAACCAAGGAGCGGGCAGGAGCCACTCGCGATCAAACATAGTCCGAAACAAAAAAAACCTTGGGGGCAGGGAAGACCACATGTACGACACTAGCACGGTCTGTTCGACCAGCGTCGCCAACTAGTGCGTTATTATCAGGATGCTTCCCAACACGCATACGATTCAAGCGACTGGTAGTACCAGGGGCTCGTGGTCTACCTCTACATCCATACATCAAATCCGTTACATCAGTCTGAGAGTAGCGACCACTACAAACACATAATATTGGATCGCACAGGCGACGAGGGATGTGCCCGCCACCGGTAGCCGATATCAGAGGCTACATGATGGACCTCGCGCCACAGGGAACAATGTTTAGCCCACCGTTGCGCGGTTGCCTCAAAGCCCAAGGCCCACGCGTCTATAACACATTGCCAGTCAGGGTGGAGGAGGAGGCGGGGGAGGGACGACGACGACGACGACGACGACGACGACGACAACGACCGCATCGACGAGGCCGATGCGAAAGACGACGTCGACGACGACGACGACGACGACGACGACGACGACGACGACGACGACGAAGACAGCGACGGCGACGGCGACGGCGACGGCGACGGCGACGGTGACGGCGGCGGCGGCGGCGACGACACCGCCAAGGCGCTTCGGAGCAGAGACGACGACGACGACGCCGACGTCGGCGATGACGAGGAGGCGGAGGAGGAGGCGGAGGTGGAGGAGGTGGAGGAGGAGGAGGGCGAGGAGGAGGAGGAGGAGGAGGAGGTGGAGGAGGAGGAGGAGGTGGAGGAGGAGGAGGAGGAGGAGGACGACGACGACGCCCCGCAGGCGCTTCGGCGGAGTGCCCGCCCGCCTGCGCGTGCTGCAAACCGCCGCCGCCCTGCGCCGGCGGGCGCGGCGTGGGGCACCCCTCGGTGGCGGTGCACGGGGACCCCGCGGAGGTCATCACTCACTCTGGCATCCTCTTGCCTCCTCCTCCTCCTCTGGCCTCCCCCTCCTTCTCCTCCTCCTCCTCCTCCTTCTCTCCTCCTTCTCCCCTCCCCTCTAGCGTTCCTCCTCTGGCCGCCTCCTCCCCCCCCCCTCTCGTCCTCTTGCCTCCTCCTCCTCCTCCTCCCCCTCCTCCTCTGGCCTCATCCTCCTCCCCCCCCTCCTCCGCCCCTCCTCCCTCTTTCTCCGCCTTCTCCGGCCTCCTCCTCCTCCTCCTCCTCCTCCTCCCCCCCTCCCCCCCCTCCTCCGTCCTCCTCCTCCTCATCCTCCTTCTTCGTTCTTTTTCCTTACGGATAATTCGTTCATGTCGCACCCCGAGGCTTGTCGGAAGGGCGGGCTGGGCGTTTCGCTTGAGAATTTCTTACCGTGTCTTATCCTGAAGCTTACGGTTGGTAACAGTTTCACAGATAGAGGGCGGGCCGCTTCCAACATGTGACTCTCGCCCTAGCGCCGCGCACATTCGTCTTCCAAGTTTGCAAGAGTTTCACGGGTTGAAGGCGGGTTGTTTTCAAAATGTGGTTCTCGCTTGAGCGGCGCGCACGTTCGTCTTACACATTTGCAAGCGCTTCACGGACTGAGAGCGGGTGGTTTTCGAAATATCGTCTCGATTTCGCACCGCGCACATTCGTTAAAAAAGTCGCCAGGGCATCACGGATTGAGGCGGGCCGTTTTCACATGGTTCTGGCTTTATCGCTGCGCACATTGGTTTCATTGGTTTCACAATTTGCAAGACGTGGCGTTGAAATCCCGAGAATGGTGTGTGGCACGCTTCAGGATCTCCAAACGGTTGTCTCACAACGGGGCATTTCTTTCAGTATGGGCCTATGAAGAGGGAGCTTGGAGGGAGGGTTGATGCCAACATCGTTGATGAGTCTTCGGTTTGCACTGGTCCTCCTCCTTCCTTTCATCATCACCATCGCCATCATCCTCCACCGCAAGCTTCTCTGCCTCCTCCTCCTCCTTCTCCTCCTCCTCCTTCTTCTCCTCCTCCTCCTCCTCCTCCTCATCATCCTCATCCTCCTCCTCCTCCTCCTCCTCTTCCCTCTCCCATGACCCTCGATCCACATCCTCTTCTTTCTCAACCATCATACGTGCTCATCTTTCTCGTCGTCCTTCTCTTCCTCCGTCCCCATCTCGCAGCACATGGGTGTCAGGTGAGGCGCCCTTTCATCGCAACTCGATGGCAGAATCCTTACGATCCACCTCTCCCATCCCTTTTCCTTATGAGGAGCTCTTTCCTGTCGGCCCCCCTGCGTGTCGGTAGGGCGTGCCGGGCGTTCCGCCTGCGACTTCCTCACCAGTTCTGATCATGAAGCTCGAAAGTTCCAACAGTTTCACGGATGGTGGGGCCGGGTAAAAATTTGGCCTGAGCTTCAGCGCCACGCACATTCGTTTTGAAGGATTGCAGCGTGTTCGAGGATGGAGCAGAGGTCGTTTTCAGAATGTGGCTCTTCCCTTTGCGCCGCGCACCGTCGCGCTAAAAGTTCGCAGCAGCTTCACGGATAGAGGGCGGGTCCTTTTCAGCACGTGGTTCTGGCGCTAGTGCCGCGCACGGTCGTTGTAGAAGTTCGCAGCAGCTGCGCGGATGCTCTGGTATCGTTTTCAATAACTGAGGACAGCACAACCCACCCCCACCCCCACCCAGGGCACCCACCTCCGACCTGGTGATCCAGGGTGCCCTGGGTGGGGGTGGGGGTGGGTTGTAAGAGCCGCGGGGCCCAAAAACACACCCCCACCCCCACCCAGGGCACCCTGGACCACCAGGTCGGAGGTGGGTGCCCTGGGTGGGGGATGGGGGTGGGTTGTGCTGTCCTCAATGGCGCGGCCCTCGCTTTGGCACCGCGCACCTGCGTCTCAGAACCTTGCAGCAGCTTCACGGATGGATGGGGACGGCCTTTTTAGAATCGTGGTTCTCGCTATACAGTCGGGGCCTTGACCTAAGGAACCCAAAATAAGGAACGAGGCCCCTTTTTTCCATAAGTTAAACTTCGATTTCCGATCGAAAACATAAGGACAACCTGAGGCAAGCTGCGAAACACTTAAGGAACGCGGAGCCCCTCCCCAACGAAAAGGGTTCCTTCTCCAGGGCCCCGGCTGTTGCGCCCAGCATTTTGCAGCAGCTTCACCGATGGAGCACAGGTCGTCTTCAACATGTGGTGCTCACCTTTAGCGCTGCGCACATTCGCCTCGAAAGACTGGAACCGTTTCACGGGTGGAAGGGGGTCCTTCTCCAAACGGGTGTTCGCCTGAGGCCCGCCGGGGCTTCGTTGAGTTTAAAGCCCAGGTCCTTCAAAGCACGTTGCGTTGCTTTCAACATGGAGCTGTCGCTGGAGATGCCCTCGAAGTTCTTAACCAAATTTGGAAAACTTACGCGACGGTTGCACGGGTTCGGGGTGGTCCTTGATATATATATATATATATACAGATACACATATATATATAGAGAGAGAGTGAGAGTGAGAGATATAGACAACGAGAGAATGAGAGAGAGAGAGAGTTATCGTTGGACACCCCGTTGAATTGTATGATAATTGTTTTGTTCGCGCTGCGCCAGAGAGATGCAGCAGGGTCCCTTTTTCAAAGTGCCCCCGCGCCAATAGATTAGGCCCAGCTGCTCTGGTTTTCCAAAGGGGGGGAGGCGCTCCTTGTAGCACAAACGATGCTCAGCGATAACGACGCTGTGCAGGGGCGCACGAAGAGGGGAACTGAAACGGGAGAATGTGTTGCAGCATCGGTTGTGCACATTTGGTTTGCTCCAGTGTTCCTCCTCTTCTTCCTCCTCCGTAGCCATTTTGGCTCAAGGCCGTCCCTCCTCGGGATCTCGGATCTGGCCGAAATTGTCACCACAGCAATCTCGCCCAAGGCTTCCTGGCCCAACGACGAGCCGCCCGCTTGTGGCCGCCGTCCAACCTACATGGGTCTATTCTGCGGTGGCTGCTGCTACTGATCGGGCTGCGGACCATGCAGCGCACACGCTCTGATGGTGCCAAGGGACCGCGTCGTGCGGGAGCCGCACTATGTGGCCATCTACCCGTTGCTGTTGCTCGCTCCGACTGCAACTACACGCCGATACTAATCCCCGTGGGCGACTGCCAGGGTGAGAAGCTGACCCAGGTTGCCGAGTCCCCTCGTCACATCCACGACGCCGAGGGCGCACACCAGTGTCCAGGCTGCCTTCCGCAGGGTGATGTGATGGATGGACATGTTAACTGACGGGGGAGGAGCTGCACACCCAGCCTCGGCCCGAAGAACAACATCCTGATCTTCACTCTCGTCCCCCTGATTGGTCCGCAGCCCGTGCCCTACCCGACGCTGTGGCCTACCTGCAGGGTGGTGGTCGTCATTCGTTACCTCACTCGTGGCTTCGTAGTCGCTCGCCTGACCAAGTTGCTGGACCACAACCTGCACATCCTCACGAAGAACGCCCCAACGCCGCTGGTGGTCAACCTGCTGGTGGCGAACGTCGCTGGTGATAATCTGGCCGGTGGCGCTTCTCTTCGGTCACGGGATGCCACGAGTATGGTGTTTGTGTCCCCGCTACGGTTGGGCGCCTGCACCCTTCTCACAGTTCCGCATGAGGTTCATTACAACTGCTACGTCCGCTGCTGGAGGTCCCTTGGCTGGTGGTGGCGCCGCTGCTTGTGATAATGGCGCCGCTAGCGCTCACGAAGATCATGGTTCTCCCGCTGCTGGTGTTCACTCTGATGGCGATTACGCTGGTGATAAGCTCGTTGGCGGCACTCACGACGATAAAGACCTCCACGCTGCCTGCACTCCCGCTGGTGGTGGCGACGTTGGTGATAGACGCGCTGGTGACGCTCTCGATGCCCACGTCCCTCACGCTGCTGGCGTACCTGCTGGTGGCGCCGTTCTCAATGGTAGTTTCGCTGGTGGCGCTCCTGACGGTAATAATCCTCCCGCTGCTGCGCTGCTGGCCTTCTGGCAGGTGGCGTCGTCGTTGGTGAGTTTCTCGCTGGTGGCGTTCCCGACGAAAACGTACCCCACGCTGCCGGTGCCCCTCATGCCCAACCACATCCTACGGCTTAGGTTCACCTCGTGGCCGCGCGGAGGACGGCCGGCAAACATCGGCCCGTCGTATTTGGACGCCGTCGGGCTGACCAGTTCCATGACTATGCTCGCGTCAGGATGCTGCTCGTGACAGGCGTTCTCTTCGCCACTATTTCAGTGAGTGGTGGCGTGGGGCCCGGAGCCGGGAAATCCTCCTGAACAGGCCCCTCAAATGCTGTTTCGATGAGTGGTTCGACTTCGTGCGCGAGCTGCTGCGCCGTCGGAAGCTCCTCTTGAGCAGGCACGCCGAGCGCTGCTTCGATGCGTGGTTCGACGCCGCGTTTGACAGTGCTGCCAGCGAGGTCAGCGACGAGGTGGAGGCTCCTGATGACGCCACCGGTGTTGGCGCGCGGCCCCTGTACGAGCATGGTCGGCATGACCCTGCCGATGATACCGAACATCGTCCTCCATCGAAGGATTGCAAAAAAACGAAGGATTGCAAAAAGGATTGCAAAAAAAAAGATTGCAAAAAAACCTTCGTGCAAAAAGGATTGCAAAACGGATTGCAAAAAAAGGTTTTTTTGCAATCCTTCGTTCAAGGGTTTGTTTGCAATCTGTCGCTGCTGCTGATGGTGGCGCTGTACTGCCTGCCTGCTGCTGCGGCCCACGGTGGCGACCGACCCCGCCACGACGAAACTCAGTCTCGCAGCCGCGCTGAGGCGCTCTCTCCGCGCTGCTTCGCCTCGAGCGCGAGGGACATCGGAAGCCTGTCCGAGCTGCCAGACATCCAAGGCTCGCAAGAAGCCCTGAAGATCCCGAAGCCGGAGACCCGTGCTGACGCGAACGGCCGCTCCGAGTCGAGCAGCTCCTGCGCCGCGATGGCTCGGCCTTCGCCCTCTCCACTCGCGCGGCCACCCCGTTGGCGCCCCTGGCTCTCTGCTGCTGCGCTCCCGCCCCCTTTGCTTGTCAGGAGGGAAAAAACACACAGACGCAATTAATCGTCGATTCCCCAGAAAACATGGGAAAATATGGGAATTGGGCGGGAAGACAGAAAACCAGAAAATGTTGGAAAATATGGGGGACCATTGTATTTGTGTATATTTATTTGTGTGTCCCAGGGCCCCTTCAGCTTGATCTATCTGCCCACCCCCTCCGAATCCCCGCCCTGCCGACGCTAACCTGAAGTCGGGCTTGTCCCTCTACAGGAGGAACATCTAAAAATAGTCAAAAAATAGCCAGGGGACTATTGTTTGAGTATGTTTTGACCTTTCTGGAACAGGGTTTGAGTATCTTTTTTTTCGTCGAGAATCCCCCTGTAGGGGGACACGCCCGACTTCATGCTAACTGTTGAGCCTATCCAGCTGTCGGTTCCCACATCTTCCGCTGCTGCTGGAGCTCATGATTACACTTCTCCGTGTGCCCAGCCTGCCCTGTCGGCGAGCTCGGCTCGGCTGCCGACGAGCTGCCCGAGGGCTGCCGTTGCTCCTCGTCCTCCTCCTCCCTCTCCTCCTGCTCCTCTGGCAGCGTCATTCGAGCCTCCGGCCTTCGAGCCTCGCATCTCCTCCTCGTCGTCCCCCTCCTCCTCATCCTTCTCTTCCCGACCGCCGAGTATCGCCGCTCGCTCCTGCGCCGATGCAGACACCCTCATAACGTGAAGCTCTCCCTGGGCGAGGCGTGCCGCTCACTCCTACAGTGTGAGCGAGGCGCCTGCTGGGAGAGAGCGCTGGACTGAGGAGTGGACGGGCGAGTGGTGGCACCTTCTCAGTGTGCCCGCCCGTCCACTTGACATGTCCCCGAAGGCTGACTGAGGCAAGGTGGTGCCAGGTTGGTTCTAGCAGCAAACAACACTCTTCTCCTCCTCCTCCTCCTCCTCCTCCTCCTCCTCCTCCTCCTCCTCCTCCTCCTCCTCCTCCTCCTCCTCCTCCTCCTCCTCCTCCTCCTCCTCTCAGTCCCGCCCTGGCCCGGGCGACGTTGCCAGCGCCGCCGCCGCCGCCGACGACGACGACGACGACGACGACGACGACGACGACGACGGGGCACGGAGCGCGGGGGGCCCCGCGGACGGCCAGGGCCCGCCCCGAGTGCCGGGGGGGGAGGGGAGGAGGCGACGCAGCGGGTCTCGTTGCGGCGGGCACGTGTGCAGGCGCCGCATGGATCTGCCGTTCCGAGGAGGAGGAGGAGGAGGAGGAGGAGGAGGTATGTGCTCGTGCACTGGCGTCTAGCTTCAGCTCCCAGGGTGAAAGTCGACGGAGCGACGAGAGGCCCGAGGGGATCGAGAGGAGGCGAGGGACGGAAACCCAGGACCCAGAACGACGCCGACCGAAGGGACCGACCGAACAAGCGGGACCGAATACCTCGAGGGCCACCAGTCAGCAGTCGAGACGAAGGGGGTCGCTTTGCATCCAAAATCCAAGTTTATTTGTCAGAGGCGGTCGCAATAGTGAAAGGCCGACGCGGTGGCTCCAATCTCGAGACCGCACCTCTCATCCTCATCGCCTCCTCCCCACACACGTCTGAGGCATCTACCGCTCATACCGCTTCCGTCGGCCCTCCCTCCGAGGAGCACCATGGGTGTGACAATCGGGAGGGCGAACATTGCTCGGATCAAACCTAAACGGAGGGTGCTGGGAGTCATACAGTCATCGGCCTGATCTAAGGAACGATACGTAAGGGACGAAGCCCCTTTTTGATCCCAAGGAATAACGCACAGAGGAACGATACATAACAAATAACGCACAAGGAGCTGTAAATAACACATGCAAGCCTAAGGAACGACCGATCCCCTTTTGAAAATAATTGTGTTCCTTATTCAAGCCGCCCACTGTAATCAGGAACATCATCGCAATGAGCGCAGCGGGCATCACAAAGTACGGGGTCGAGGCTGGCAGCACGAGCAGCAGGCTCCTGCGATGGCGAACCTGGGAACAGCCATCTGCGCACAAAAGGTCTGGCGTGTGGCGCACCATTCCGTCAAACAATCCGCTGGGACTCGACCGTCTTCTCGGGGGCGGAAAAGAGGGGGGTGATGACTAGGGGGGGGTGGATATCATGGCGTGGGCCATGATATCTCCCCAGATTTCATGGCGCCTCTTCTTGTTTCATTACGTCCTTGGCCCCCCCGCTGGGCCGCGCACATGCCGCCGGTCATGATTTGCACCCCCCCCTCTTGGACGCCCCCCTCTTGGCCGCTCCCGATCTTCATATAGTCTGCCTCGACCGCCGCAGCGTCCAGACGGGCACGGCGGCGCAGAAAGGGTCTGGAAGAGGATGCCATCGTGCGCCTCGTTGCCTGCTGGGCGTCGACCTCCTTCTGGTACGAACAAAGCTCCGGGACAGAAAGCTTGACAGCGGCATCGGCGCTTGAACTGACATCTACTTTGTTACACCGGCTGTCATCTCTCAAATTCTCCGCCGCCGCGTCGCACTGAACATCTTGATAGGCCAGCGGCGACCAACAGGGAGCTTAAGGGAAAACAGCAACCCCTCACGTGCGCACGAGTCCGTCCTGGCGGGTAGATCACGAAAGACTCTGAGTACGGGCCGGTCGGCTCCCAATGAGAATTGGCATCAGGCTTGAACACGGGCGCGTCGGGGTTGCAGACAAAGGCCTTCGCGAAAACGCACGGACGGTCCGAAGCGGCAGCGGCCAGGGGAGCGTGGCGAGCCAGGTCGCCTTGCACATTGACCTTGAACGAGTTGATCATACCCTCTGGCAACTAAAAGGCGGCTTGAAGGGCTCGAAGGGCGTCGCCAAGCCAGTGGTTGTGAGCTCCAAGCGCCCCGTCAGCCCGCCAGCGTAGCAGAATACGTTTCCCAATGACACCATTCGAGACCGCAGCTCCTCCTCGACGTCGGGTGGGACTGGCGATCTAAGGAGAGCATCTTCAGCTTCGCGAGTTGCACCTTCACAATCAAGCCCTGCTGCACGACCCCTGCGAAGGCGCCTCGACAAGGCTGCAGCGGAGCGGCATGCTCAGGCTTTGCCTCTGAGCTATGCACCACCACATGGCGCACCGCCAGCAAGAGCTGGGGAGCCTCCCAGAGCCATCCAAAGTAGCGCGCGCGCGGAAAGCGGGCACCCGGCTTGAGCCACAATGGCTACGGACGAAGAGGAGCAGGAGGAGGATCGAGGTTCGAGGCTCGAAGGATCGAGTGATCGAGGTTCGAGGTTTTGGAGAGTTTCTTATTGTGTCAGGATCATAAATGGTGCGGACATGTCAGGCGGAACGCCAGGCCCGCCCCACTGACACGTCTGGGGGTGCGACAGGGAGGAGTTATTTTCAAGGGCGAGGGATGGAAGAGGCGGAGGAGGATCGACGTTCGAGGCTCAAGAGTCGAGGTTTTGTTGGTGTGCTGTTGGTGTTTAATGTGTGCTGGGCCTCCTGAGGGCTTCTCGTCGCCATGGTTGGATGTATTCCGATCCTCTGTCCAGGAAGCATATCGCACACGAGAACAGGTCTTGGGGCGGAGTTTTACCCCCGCGACTCGACTTCCACAAATTCGTACATATTCTGATAGCAGGGGTGGGAGGCGAAGCGAGACCAGGCAGGAGAAGGCAGAAGTAGGCAGAAGGATGCAGGATGTGGAGGATGAGGATGAGGAGGAGAACCACTGCAAATCCAACACGCGTCAAAAATGTTGCAATTTGCCCTCCCTCCAGGTTCCCCGTTCCATGTTCACAGGTCCCTGCAAGAATTTGTTTTGATTGCGGGGACTGCCCAATTGACACGCAAACATGAGAGAATCCCCAATCATTCCAAACCGCATGTCTTAGGATTCCAACGCCGCGAATCAGCGTGACTGCTGCGTCCTGACAATCCTAAACCGTGCCAGAACACATTTCCTGGGACTGGAGTGACTTCAACCGTGCGAATTCTTGAATCTGCGACCGAAATTCAAAACGAATGCACGCGGCGCTAAGACAAGAGCCACATTTAGAAAAAGAGCCGCCCTCCATCCTTGAAATGGTCGCAACAGTTTAAGACGGATGCGCGTGGCGCCAACGAGAGGAACACATGTTGAAAACGAGCCGCCCTCAACCATTGCAACTGCTGGATTTGTTGTGAGACGAATGCGCGCGGCGCTGAGGCGAGAACCAGATCTTGAGCCACGCACCCTCCATCCGTGAAGTTGCTGCGGAGTTCAAGCTTCAGGATCGTAGATGGTGAGGCGGTCTCAGGCGAAACGCCATGCCCGCCCTGCCGTCACGTCTGAAGGTGCGACAGAGGGGGTTAGGTTGTAAGAGAATGGCAGGAGGTAGAGGAGGAGGAGGAGGAGGAGGAGGAGGAGGAGGAGGAGGAGGAGGAGGAGGAGGAGGAGGAGAGGGAGGGGGATAGGGAGAGCGAGGAGAGGAGGAGGAGGAGGAGGAGGAGGAGGAGGAGGGAGGAGGAGGAGAAGGAGGAGGAGAGAAGGAGGAGGAGGAGGAAGGAGGAGGAGGAGGAGGAAGGAGAAGGAGGAAGAGAGGAGGAGGAGGAGGAGGAGGAGGAGGAGGAGGAGGAGGAGGAGGAGGAGGACGAGGAGGGAAAGGAGGAAAAGGACGAGGATAGAGATTCGAGGCTCAAGGGGACGAGGGTCGAGAGTCGAGGGCCGAGGCTTTCCCGTGGGGGGGGGACATGTTTTTGGGGGGCCTTGGGGGATCTCGTCGCCATGGCTGGATGTCCTTCGATCTTCTGTCCAAGGAGCATACCGCACACGAGGGCAGGTCTGGGGGCCTCGGTTGCCCTGGTTCGCCCGTGCTGGAACACAGCACGTCCCGTGCTCAACACGTGCGTGGCAACACGCTACGTGTTGGTTCGGCACGCGTTGGCCCACGTTTGCGCGAGCGTGCCGCGCCGGGCGCACCTACGTGTGCAGTCTGCGGGTTGAGCTCCGTGTCGGCGCGCTCCGTGCTGCTGTGTTGCGTCTCGGGGCGACGAGGCACCGCGCGCGGGGGCAGGTCTGGGGGCCCATTCTTCCCCCCCCCCCGAGCCTCGACCTCCAGAGGTCCTGCCACATCTGGAAGGCAGGAGGAGCAAGGAGGAGGGAATTGGAAGCAGGATCAGGCACACGAAGGCAGAGGGAGGCAGACATATGCAGGACGGGCAGGAGGAGGGGGAGGAAGAAAAGGAGAAGAAGGAGGCGGAGGAGGAGGAGGAGGAGGAGGAGGAGAAGAGCCGGGAAGAGGGAGGAAAAAACGGGAAGCGGTCACGGAGGAGCAGCAGCAGCAGCAGGAGGAGGAGGAGGAGGAGGAGGAGGAGGAGGAGGAGCAGTAGCACGAAGAGAGCGAGCAGCCGCTGCAGCACCGGGACGATGAGCAGGAGGAGGCCCCTTGGGTCGCCGTCGGCCTGGGGGCGGGCGGGGGCCTCCCCGAGGTCCGGGACGCCCCGGATGCGGAGGTCGGGGCCGCGCTGCAGCGCGTCTTCGGGCCCCAGGGCCTGCAGCTGCTCTTCGGAGTCCCGTCCTCGGCGGGCGTGAGCCGCATACACCGCGGCGGCATGAACCACGTGTTCATGGCCGCCGGCGGCGGCAGGCTGCTGAAGTGCACGCTGCCGCAGTGCGCCCCCTTCAGCGAGGTGCTCGAGGCTCGGTGCGATCGAGATGTGTACGGTAGGTTTGCGTTGTGTCGATTGGCGGCGACCCCGCCGCCGGGGTTCAGCGTTGAACGCCGCCGTTTTTTGAAACGGCCGATCGTTCAAAGTTACACGATCCAGCGCGGCGTTAGAAACCGCACGACGAGCGGCAGCAGTTCTTGCTCATTTTGGACAGGACTCGATGTCGATGTCACCGCGGACGTTGTCCGTCTGAGACGGAGGGCCCGCTGCCCAAGAGCGACCTCCGTCGGTTTGGGGCAGCATTTGCTCTTGGGCATCGTGCCCGTTTCTCCGTATATCTATTGCGGGCGTCCAAAGAGGCCGAGCGCATACGGCGCGACATCCCCGGCCTGGTCTCGGACGTGCACGCTGTGTTCCCCACCGCCGGGTTCCTGTGCCAGGAGTCGCAGGAGAACACCTGCGTGAGCACGGGCTTTCGGGGGTACGCGCCGATTTCTTGGATCCTCGCTGGGCTCCGCTGGCGGCACCTCCGGCACCGCCCCTGGCGACGACCTATGACATCCGCGCGGATCTCCGAAAGCTGTTGTTTCTGCCGGCGCTCTTCTTCCAAGGAGGCCAGCGGGCTTGCCAGGAGCCCACCCTACGAGGTCCCTCGGCCTCCGAAAACGGAGCCAGAGCCCGCAGGTGAGGTCGGAGGTTCGCGCCGCATCGCCGATGCATCGGCGATGCGGCGCGATCCTCCGACTCCAGCTGCTCCGGCCCCATTTGGGGAGGCCTCCGGAGGTTCGGGCCGAACGAAAGGGGGGGATAGGGAAAGGGGGGCTACGAAATCTGCTGCATGGAGCCGGTTTCGGCCTCGCCGCCGGGCCCATTGATACATGGGCGCCTCACGGCGCCGGGAGGCGCTGGGAGAATCAGCCAGCTACGTGAGCTGATCCTCTACCCTACCCTTTGCTATCCCCCCCTTTCGTTCCCCCCGAGAGGTGCTGGTATTCGAATACCTAGAGGGCTGCCGCTCCCTGTCGGACCTCATCCACATGTTCGAGCGCACGCACCCCATGATGGGCCTGCTTTCCGCCACCACCACCAGAAGTCGGAGGGGGGAAGGAGGAGGAGGAGGAGGAGGAGGAGGAGGAGGAGGAGGAGGAGGAGGAGGAGGAGGAGGAGGAGGGGAGGAGGAGAGAGGAGAGGAGGAGGAGGAGGAGGAGGAGGAGGAGGAGGAGGAGGAGGAGGAGGCGGAGGAGGAGGACCCCCTCCCCCTCCAACTTATGGTGGTGGTGGAGAGCAGGCCCATCACCCCATGGACGTGCTCCGCAGCGGCGCCGCGTGCAGCGCGCACCGCGGCGGCGGGGCCTGCGAGCACGCGCAGCTCCTGAGGTCGCTGCTGGTGCACCAGGTGCCCAGGCTCTCGGCGGGCGAAGGCCGTAGGCCTCCCTGGAGTTGTCAGGAGAGGAAGAAACACACACACACACACACACACACACACACACACACACACACACACACACACACACACACACACACACACACACACACACACACACACACAACACACACAACACACACACACACACACACACACACACACACACACACACACACACACAACACACACACGCACGCACGCACGCACGCACGCACGCGCACGCACGCACGCACGCACGCACACACACACACACACACACACACACACACACACACACACACACACACACACACACACACACACACACACACACGCACGCACACACACACACACATGCACACACGCACACGCACACGCACACGCACGCACAGACACAGTGAATCGTCGATCCCCCCGAAAATATGTGGGAAACATGGGAAGTGGGGGGGGAGACAAACATCCGAGAAACTATGGGAAAATATAGGGGGAATCCTGTGATTTGTGTGTGTATTTACTTGTGTGTCCCACGGCCCCTTCAATTTGATCCGTTGGGTCCTGGCATATTCCCTCGGTGTCGGCCTTCCGGGCCCATCGACGGGCCCCGGGGCCGCCCAGAGCGGAACTGGAGGAACAGCAATGGCCTCCAGTTGCCGGGCTGGGTCCTTTTTGAGGCCCGGCTTGTGTAGATCAGGTCACCATATGTCTGGAGAGCGGTGCCAACGAAAAGCCTCTGCCATCGGGGGCACTCGTCCCAGGGCGGCGGGGAAGTGCATACCTCTGCGGCGGCATGCAGCGTCCCTGGCGTCGGACAAGCTAGCTCGAGAGGCGGGGGCCATTCCGCCGACCCCCCAGAATTGGAGATGTAGGGCTTCCGATTTCGCAGGTGCTGTTTGCCGCTTCCCGCCGTGCTGCCTGCATACCGATGTCGCGGGCTCGTCCCCCCATGCCTTCATGTCTGTTGCGGGGCTCTATGAGGGCCGAGGCCTCCAGGGCGGGTCCTTTGGCGGCCGTTCTGGGACAAGCGCCCCCAGCGGCGGAACAACTAAATATCTAACGCCGTCCTTCATCCGCCAAGGCTCAACCGCCGTTTCCAGTCGCGGCACGGGCGCCGGCACGGTGATTTCAAGGCCGACAACGTGCTGATCGACCGCAGCGGCATCCCGAGGCTGGCCGACTTCCTCAGCCCCTTCTGCCAGAGTTGCGACCGAGAGGAGCTGCTGTGCTCCATCTGCTCGTCGCACCCGGCGGTGCAGGAGATGAAGAGCGCCGTGGGCGGCGCCTGGAGCGGGCGGAGCGCGGCGGACGAGGCGTGGCTCGGCCGCCCCGGGGCGGCCCTGGAGCCCGGCGAGGCGTGCGGCAACGCGCGGCTCTTGGCGGACCTGGAGCGCCTGGTGGCCGCGGGCCAGTCGCAGTCCATCTTCGGCCCCATGCCGTCTCTGCTCAGCACGGTCGTCGGCCGCCAGGTGCCGTGGGAGTCCGCGGCCCTGGGCTCCGCATCCCCGACCCCTCCCGGGCCAGCCAGGGGCGCCGCCGTGGTCCCCAGACTCGGCGCCGCCGTGCCGCCCGAGCTGCTCCTGCCCGGGAGGCTCGGCGAAGGCCTGGCGCCGCCACCTGGGGAGCCGCAGTTGTCGCCGACGGGCTCGAAGGCGGGGAGCTCGCTGGTGCTGCCGATGATGTCGCTCGGAGAGATGTCCCCCCTGGGCTCCCCGACGTTTGCGGCGAGCTTCTTCGGCAAGACCAGCTTCGCGTTCACCGCCAGGCCGCCTCCCAGCAAGGGGCAGGGGCCGCCAGAGCCTCCGGCGTCGCCACCAGTGCCTGCGGCCACGCTGCGCCCAGCAGAGTGCCAGGCTCGGCCGCGCGCAAGAGGGACCCTTCGCAAGAGTGACCTCTGGTGCGGGCCTACAGTGGTCCGCATCAGCACTAATTATCCTGCGAGCTTGGGTTTGGCGCCTCCGCGGCCCTCCAATGCCGCGCACCAGCGGTCACTCTCGTCGGGTCACTCTTTGCGTGAAACCGACAGGTCCTGACCCAGTGCCAGGCGACCCACCCGAGCCCGTGCCAAGCGGCCCTCCCAGCCCAGGCGGGCCCTGCGCCGGGCGGCCCCGCGCCAGGTTGCGCGCACGGCGCCGCGTCCCAGGACACGTGCCAGGGCTTCCACGCGGGGCCGCCAGCCGCGTGCAGCGCGCGCCCACACACCGCCGCCAGCGCGCCCTGCCACGGCGCCTCGCCGAGACTGTCGCCTGGCGGGCCCGCGGGGATGGCCGCGGGTTTGACGCCGTTCGCGAGCATCCCCGAATTCGGCGCAGGCCCGCTGCAGCCGTCCCCTGTCCCGCTGGCCGCTGGGCATGGCGCGCAGCTGGCCTCCGGCACGGCGGAGCCGCTGCGTCCACCGCGGCCCTCGGCCGCGCCGCAGTGCTGCCCAGCGGCCCTCGGCGGCGCCTCAACAGCGGGCGGTGGCGGTGGCGGTGGCCCAGCGCTGCTCGGCGGTAGCCTCGGCTTCGGCGATGTCGCTGCGGCGGGCCTCGGTGGTGGCCTCAACATTCCAGCCAGGCAGAGGTCGGGCTCCACGCCACTGCCTGCTGCTGGCGGCCTGCCGCCGCATCTGGCGCTGCTGCCCGCCGCGGCCGTGCCGCCGCACGGCGCGGCAGAGCCCGCCAGCGCGGTGCCTCCGCCCGCCGGCGCGCCACTGCTGCCCGCCGGCGCCTTGCCGCCGCACGGCCAGGCGTTGCCCGCTGGCGGACCTAGCCCAGCCAGCTGCCCAGCGCGCGCCTGCAGCAGCCTCTCGGCACCGCCCGGGGAGGCGCTGCTGGCGGCCGCCTGGCGGCCCGCCGGCTGCCAGTCTGCCCCCGCGGCGCCGTGCCTCGGCTGCGGCAGCGCCGCTGGCGCCAGCTTCGGCCTCGCCGGTTGCGGCGGCGGCTCGTCGTCGTCCTCCTCCGCCGCCGCCCGCTTTGGCTTTGCGGCGGGTTGTGGCGGTTGCACGGGCGACTTGTGCGTGACCTCGACGCCCGTGACTTCCAACGCCCTCGGCGGCGGCGCCTGCGGCTTTGGCCTCGCGGGGTGCGGCGGTTGCGCGGGCGATTTCTGCGTGACATCGACGCCCGTGACTGCCACTGCCCTCGGCGGCGGCGTCGGCGCCGCCGGCGTTGGCTTGGCGGGGTGTGGCGGTTGCGAGGGCGATTTGCGCGTGACTTCGACGCCCGTGACCTCAATCGCCCTTGGCAGCGGGGGCACCGCTGGCTTTGGCTTGGCGGGGTGCGGCGGTTGCGTGGGAGATTTGCGCGTCGCCTCCAACGCCAACGACTTCTTTGGCTGCAATGGGTGCAGCGGCTACACGATGCCTGGCGCAGAATTCGGCCTCTCGTCTCCGACCTACGTGGGCGGGCCGAGCGCCCATTTGGTTGCGCAGGCCGCCACGGCAACCGCCCGCCACTGACGCCTCTCCCTTTGAATCGTCTGCCCGGACCCT